TCCTGGGTTCTCTCCCCAGCTCTAGGAAGGGAGTGGTATCCAGTGGGTAGAGGAGGGAGCTGGGAACCAGAACTGCTGAGTTCTCTCCCCAGCTGGAGGAGGGGAGTGGTTTCTATTGGTTAGAGGGCTGGGAATCAGGACTCCTGGGTTCAATGTGGAAGCAGAGAGTGCGGTTTAGTGGTCAGAGCAGTGAGTCAGGGTGCCTGGGTTCTCTTGGCTCACGTGAGGCTGAGTTAGAGAAGGCAACTGACAGCCAGGACTCCTGGGTTCTCTTCCCCGTCCTGACACTGTGTGATGGATGACGACTCATTTTCCCCATCTGAACGATGGGAAGAATTCTTTCCCTTTGCTCCAGAACAGCGCTGCAGGGGTGGGGGGGTGTGTGTCACGTGTCCAGTACACCGCACACCTGAAATACTAAAATACACATGGCAAAGGACACGCATTCTTGGTCCATGCCCCCTTCTTGAAGGCAATGCTCCGGCGTGGGAACGGGGGAGCTCTTCCAGCCTGGCTCGGACCAGGGACCCACTTGCCCGCCCCTGCCCAGTCCCCCATCACCTTGAAATGGACAATCCAGGGGAAGGCGAAATTCACACATGCCCAGAAGAGCTGAAGATGGGCATCACTGGTGAAAATCACATGAGAGCTTTACAAGGCTGGGAGTCAGGACTCCTGGGTTCTCTCCCCAGCTCTGGGAGGGGAGTGGGGTCTAGTGGTTAGAGCGGGGGGGGGCGGCTGAGGGCCCCCAGGACTCCTGGGTTCTATTCCTAGCTCTACTACCCCACCTTCTGTGTCATCTTGGGCGAGTCACGTCCCCTCTCTGTGCCTCAGTTTCCCCTTTCAGTGCCTAAGTAGGCTGTCAGCTCTTCAAGGAGCGGCTGCCTCTCAGTATGTGTCTGTGCACAAGGAGGGCCCTGATTTCGGTTGGGGTCTGTGTAGCGCCCGGCATAAGGTGGGCCATGATCTCAGTTAGGGTCTGCACAACAGGGGCCCTGCTTTTGATCCATCTCTGTGCAGTGCCTGACACAACAAGGACCTGATCTCGGTCCGGGGCTGTAGGTATAATTACGATACCGCTTCTTGGGAGAGGGATAGCTCAGTGGTTTGAGCATTAGCCTGCTAAACCCAGGGTTGTGAGTTCAATACTTGAAGGGGCCATTTAGGGATCTGGGCCAAAAACTGGGGCTTGGTCTTGCTTTGACCAGGGGGTTGGACTAGATGATCTCCTGAGGTCCCTTCCAAGCCTGATATTCTATGATACTTGACTGTCTCTAGCATCACTGTCCCACCACTCGGGCCAGCAGTCGTGACTTTCCTACGACAAATGGAATTTCAGGCTCCTGCGTGGACTTTCCCAGCTTTGACGACTCTGGAATAAAAAAATCTTATAGGAAATGTTTTTCCCTTTCCACTGCAGGCCCCCTCTTAAAGGGATGGAGAAAATGCAGCAGGGAGGAATCTCTCCTCCAGGAGTAAGGATTTACATATGAAGCACATGGGGAGGGAGGAACCCTTAGAACAGCAGGGGAGGGGGTTTGTGACTATGAATGCCCCCCCCCACCCATCCCCCTAAAATCCAGGCCTGCCAACCTCTTTCCGGATAAAGCCGCGTCCCCTGCAGCCCCAGCCTTCTTCCCAGCTAATGTGGCGGAAAGTGTCTTTGAAGGGAAGGTTTCCCACTCCCTGGGTTTTATTTCGAAGGCAGAAGAGGCCGTAATTTTAAAGTGGCGGGGATTTGGGCTTTACAAAAGGGCTGGGGGGGACGGGGTCTTGCTCAGCAGATCACACTGAAACACCAACAAAGACAGGGGTGGCTTTTCTGGGAGCCCTTCTGGGAGCAGCTGCTGCTCTGAGCCCCGAGGATCCGGCTTCCCAGGAGAGGGGCTGCAGGTGGGAAACGCCCCAGTTCCCCGTCCCCACTGCTGTATGTTGCTGATCAATGGGCTGCTATTGGGGGTCTGGCCTTGCTTCCTCCGTTTCTCCCCCCCCGCCCCCCGCCAGAGTGTCAGGACATCAGCAAAACACATGGGGGCCGGATCGTCAGCTGATGTAGACTGACGCTGCTCCGCTGACGGGCGGGTGAGGGGCTCTGAGCCGGGACTCTACAGACCTAGCTTCTCTTCCCGGCTCTTCCACTGGCCTGCTGGGTGACAAGTCGTGTCACCGCTTGGCGCCTCAGTTTCCCCTCCCCTCCTCTTTTGATTGGAAGCTCTCCAGGGGCAGAGACTGTCTCTCGATCTGTGGCTGTGCAGTGCAAGCCTCCCCCTCCCCCGGTACAATGGGACCTGGATATCCACTGGGGCTTCTAGGTGCTACTGTAATATACCTAAGAAATAACACTAATAAGTTAAATGGAGCAACTTTGATTTATCCAGCTGGGGATCTGGCCCACTGAATCCAAAGGAGTGAGGCCGTTTCACACCGGCCGGGGATCTGGCTGGCGCAGTCGTCCGGTTTAGCTAAGGGGAGACAGCGGCCTGTCTCGGACGAACCCTAGCCCCAGTCTTAGCCCGGCTGGTCCTTCCGGGCCCTCACGTCTCGCCGCGTCCCTTTAGCGGGCGTCTGTATGGCGAAACTGTGCTGCTGAACTGCGCCAGCCTATTGCTGATTGGTACGCTGCTGCCCTCTGCTGGGTGGAACTGGGACTGCTGTCTGTGGGTCACAGGCCCCTACCCTGCCCGCAGCTGCTGGGCGAGTCGCCGGTTGCTGGAGGGGGGGCCTGGGGAACAGGAGGGTTTTGGGGTCTATCCCTGAGGCTGCCAGGCTGGGCAGCAGCATGCGGTATGGAGACACTTGGGGTGTTTGGGAGACGGGGTCTGGGCTACTGGGCAAACGTCCGCTCCGGCCACAAGGAAGGTAAAAGATACAGAGAGCCCCAGAGGTACACGCAGCAAGACACCCAAAGAGAGACTCACACAAAACCCTACAGCCACCCAGATCGACACACAACCGGATACACACCCACACAGAGACACTGCCACAAAGCCACACACACTTCCAGCTAAACAGACAGACAGACACACACAGAGATATACAAACAAGGGCACAACGAGAGTGACACAAAACCACACACACACACACAGCTAAACAGACCCTTACAAACAGAAACACAAGGACACAAAGAGAGAGAGAGAGAGACACACACACACACAACACAAACACAAGGACACACAGAGACACACACACAAATATGCATACACAAACACAAACATGACACACAGAGAGAGACACACACAGAAAAACAGACACACATGCACAATCCGAGAGGCAAATCAATTCTGGGTGCGTTTCGGGAAGAGATGCTTGAGTCAAACCCCAGTTATTGGGCCCCTGACAGGGGAAAGTGGGGGGAACTGAAAGGCCCCACTCTATAAAGGAGGCCGATTAGATGTTGTAATGGTCCCTTCTTGTCTTAAATGCAATGATTCCCACCCCCTGCACCCGACAGAGCATAGCGCTGTCCCTATTGCAGCTTACCCTCCCTGCTGATCACGATAATCCTCTCTAGCTTTTATCGCTGCTAGATCTCAAAGCTCTTTACAGAGGAGTGCCATTAATCCTGTTTTACAGATGGGGAAACTGAGGCAGGGAGCCTTGCCTGAGCAAACTGGGACTAGAACCCTGGCCAGGGCTCCACCCAGTAGGCCACGCTGCTCACGCATTTAGCTCCACAGCCGGTTGCTGGGCTTCTGTCCCTGCACAGGCTGTCATTATCTGGCTCTGCCGGAGTGGGAGTCCCCTGTGCCCTAAAAGCGGGTTGCTCCCCTTACGCCAGGGCCGCTGTTTTGGTCCCTGCGAAGCCGGGTGGTGTGCGCCAACTCGCTGCAAAGGTGTGTGCATGGAGCACCTGTGTTTGGGGAGCCTCATCCTGTCTCAGCAGAGAGCCCCGGTCCAGATCTGGAGACACCACATTGCACTGGGGAGGGGGCTGAGCTGCCCGGTCTCTGAATGGGGTGTGGGGAGAGATCAGGTCTATGGAGGGGGGCACGGTGGAGAGCCCTGTTCTCCACACAGCTGCGGGGGAAGCTTTCATGGACAAGCTCAGCTGGGCATCCACTGGTGACAGCAGGGGGCTGGGAAATCAGGACTCCTGGGTTCCATTCCTGGCTCAGCAACGGCCTGAATCTCCCTGTGCCTCAGTCTCCCCACCTGTAGGATGGGGTCAATAATTCTGACCTAACGTCCCAGGACGAGCTGTCGGGGTTACAGGGCTTTGGGATCTTCAGAGCACAGGCTCGCGGAAAGGGCAAAGTATCATTAAAGGGGATGTACGATCACAGCCGCCGTGACTCACGCTGCTTTCAGATACCAGGGCTGGGTACAGGGACAGATACCTGCAAGCTGTCACATCCTGTTTGCCACAGCTGAACTGCCAGGTCGCCTCATCAGATAAACACATTGTGAAACCGAATCATTGGGTAAAAGAAGAAAGAATAGTTCATGTTTATTAGGTGTGTTACGGCAGCACCTGGGAGCCCCAGACAGGCACGAAAAATGCTCCAAAAACCTGCTCCCCGCTCCTGGCCGTGGGATTGGAGGAGGAGGATCAGAATAACAGACCCATCTAGCCCGGTGTCCCGTCCCCCCTGCTCTGCTTCAGCCCAACGGGCCCATCTAGCCCAGCGTCCCGTCCCCCCTGCTCTGCTTCAGCCCAACGGGCCCATCTAGCCCCGTGTCCCATTCCCCCTGCTCTGCGTCAGACCAACAGGCCCATCTAACCTGATCTTGGTGGGGTCTGTGCAGCGCCTGGCACAATGGAGGGCCCTTCTCCGTCAGGGCCCCCAGCTGCCACCATAATGGAACTAACCGATCGGGGCCCATCCCTGCTCCCTTTAGCTGGCTTCCCACCTCCCTGCCAACTTGGGCTGCCTTCAAAGGGTGTCATTTGTCTCTCTTATCCACCCAGCTCTTCCCAGCCCCAAATTCCTCCCGTGACTGGGTGGGTGGGAGCTGAACCTAGCTGCCACCACCGGTTTACCCTGCCGATCTGTTGCAGATCCTGTTTGGGAGCTCCGTACCCTGTCTGTGCGCTCTGTCCCGGGGCCTGATGCTGGTGTATGGTGGGGGGGGCGGAGGAATTGGTTTTCAGGGTGGGGGCCAGGGGAAGGAGAAGATTGAAGCGCGTTAATCATGGATTGGTCACTCGGCAATGATAGAGAAACAAAAGAACTTTTTAATGACATGTTGTATCCCCAGCACCTGAGTGAACAGAACTGTGGCCGATCCCTGAGTTGGGGGGCGGCTCTGGCCCCTGTCAGAGCCACGATCATGAGAAAAAGCTAGCAGCAAAAGGGGACCCCCAGCTTCCAGTAGCGACACCTGAGAAGAGCAGCTGCCCCACCCCAGGGGGGCAAAGATTAATTATGCAAAGAGTCCTTTATGCAGCCCTGGGGGGAACAGAGCCCCCCGCCCCTGAGATTTCCAACCCCTAAAGAGGATCTTCCCACCTGGTGTGGAGCACAACCCTCCACCATGTCTGGGGGGATCAGGGGCCTGGCTGGAGCGCAGAGACCCATTCAGAGCAGCCCCAAGGTTGCTCTATCCCAGTGTTTCTCAACCCTTTTGATACCCGGGACCGGTTTGCTGCCCTCCTAAACTGCGGCAGGCGGATCTCAGGGACCGGTGCCGGTGCATAGACCAGCCGCGGAGAAACATAGCTGACCCTGGCCCAGAATGGGCGGGGAAGAGCACCAACGGGGGCTAAAAGCCACCTGCGCCCCATTCTGCCACCAAGCACAGGGATGGGGGCGTGTGGGGCTGAGAACTGGGCCCAGGGTCCATCCTGGTGGACTCGGGGAATCTCCCGGTATTGGCACTGGGGGAGGGACAGAATGCCAGGTGGGTTCCACGCAGCAGGAGTGGTCCGGGCAGCGGGAGGGTCTCGGGGGCGGGAAGCGAGCGAGGACGGGACGATCAGAGCTTCACCCCACCCCGCCGGGCCGCCCCCCCGGCTCTCACGTCAGGCAGCTCCGGGAGCTGCAGCAGGACGGTCCGGGGAGGGGCGGCCGGCCCCAGCCCGCGTCGCGCTCAGGTGTCCTTGCGGGGTACGACGTGGGCGGCCGGGGGGCTGGGCTCCTCCAGCCGCAGACGCAGGGTGTTCCCGATGACCAGCTTCTCCAGCACCAGGGAGCCCAGGAACCAGAAGAGGGCGTACTCCAGCGTCACCAGCCCCATGAGGTGGTAGCGGAAATGGCTGTAGTCCCAGGGGCAGGCATCGAACCGGCGCAGGAGGTAGCCGGTGGCGAACTCCCACAGGTAGATCCAGAGGGTGTAACACAGGCAGCGGCTCAGCAGGGGGCAGCGGTCCCGCAGCAGCAGGTACATCCGCTCCAGCACCAGGCTGGACGTGCCGTAGATGAACAGGGCCCAGACGCTGGTGACGCCCGGGAACTTCCAGTCCCGCTCGGCCACGAAGGCCCAGGTGGCCGTGAACATCACCTCGCAGAAGTACCCGTGGATGGCGTAGATGTACCAGCGGGTCAGGGGGCTCAGGGGCTCGGCCCGGCCGCCCATGGCGCGGGATCTGTGGGACAGTGGCACATGGAGGGGGGGGGGCACGTTAGTGGGGCGGGCAAATAAGAGGAGCGCTGCATAAGGGACGTCCCGTCGAGTGTATGGGCTGGAGGGGCTTGGATCCTAGGGAACCTACACGGAACCGGAGTGCTCCAGAGACAGTGAGTGGGAGCTAGGAGTTAGAGAAGGGCAGGGGGAGGGGCGTTCAGGACTCCTGGGTTCCGTTCCCAGCTCTCAGGGGGGGAAGAGGGTCCTAATGGTTAGAGCAGAGGGCTTGAGAGCCAGGACTCCTGGGTTCTATCCGCAGCTCTGGGAGGGGCATGGGGTCTAGTGATTAGAGCAGGGGGGCTGGGAGTCAGGACTCCTGGGTTCTAATCTCCACTCCAGAAGGGGAGGGGGGGTTGTGTTCCCGGTTGTAGGAAAGGAATAGGGTGGCTAGTGAGTGGGACGGGGTGTCAGCACTCCCAGCCCTGGCAAGGGAGTGGGGTCTAGTAGCTAGAGCCGATAACCTCATCATCTGGATTCCTAGGTCCAATTCTCAGCTCCGCCACTGACACCCTGGGCATGTCCCTTCCATGCGCCCTGCCTTGGTTTCCCCAGCGGTAAAACGAGGGTGGCAGCACGGTGCTATCATCATGCCGAGCCTTGGCTAGCCGCCCTGGCAAAGAGCGCTGGGTGGCTGGCGTTCGAGCCTGCCACACTGCTTCCAGCCTCGCCTGACTTCCACGCCGCTCTTAGCTGGCCCGTTTGGCGACCAGATTTGCCATGCGCAGTCTCAGGCTGCTAGCAAAAGTGGGGGGAGAGGGGGAAGCTGTTGCAAGCAAAATAGATTTGGCGCAAGAAAAGGGTTAAAGCAACACCCCAGCTTGACAGCTGTGTGGGCAGGATACCAGGGCTGTGCTCACCTCAGCAGGGGGTTAGTTGGGGTAGGGATGTGGGTGATGCTTCCTGGGGGTACCCAAGCTTGCAAGGCACTTCGCTACCCTCTGGCATCAGCAGGAGGAAGCGGAGGTCAGTCCCCGACAGCTACCAGCGTCTGCACACAAGCGGTGCCTTCTGGCCTTGCTCTCCCTTTGCAGGTTCATCATCGTCAAACTCCAACATCCCCCCGCCACTCCCAAGTCCTCCGGGCACCTCCCTAAATCGCCCAGCCCCTGGTTTACTCACCAAATTCCCAACTCTAAAGGCAGAGGACACCCCCACCGTCCCCGTTCCGCCTTGGACCAGGGCTCCGCTCCACCGGCACTTAGATTTGGTTGTCGAGAAAGCAAGGATCCGTTTATTCCCCAAGAAGCAGAGATTCAAAGGGCAGCCAGCAGAAAGGGAAACAAAACGGGAAAACACAGAAAAAAATAAATCAATCACAACACACATCCTAGACCCCACCTACCCTGTGATCTAGACATCAGCTGCCCCGAAGGGCTCGTCCACACCTGGAACACTACAGCTGCCCGCCGTGTAGACACAGCTGACGCCGATGCCAGAATTCTTAGCACTGTCTACACCAGGGGTTAGGTCGCCTTAACTAGATAGCTCGGGGGGGGGGGGGTGCGCGCGTGTGTGTGTATTTTTCACACCCATGAGGAGCGCAGCTGGCTCGATGTACTTTTCTCGTGTAGACCAGCCCATCCACACGTCCGCTGCGAGACCCAGACTCTGAATCCTTCCCTGGCGGAGGGCAAGCGGGCAGGGCGCTCGTTTTATGAATGGAGGATCACCGCCATGCGCGGCTTCGGCCATGCCCCAGCTCCGCCCCCTATGGGCTCTGGGGGGCAGAGAATAGCCACACACAGCGCGGTGTGCTCCGGCCAGGCCCCTGCTCCGCCCCAGCCCCTGTGGCCCTTATACCCCTTCCACACCAGCCTGGGGAGCTGCTGAGGGGCCCGTTCCCACCCCACCGCAGGGCCGAGGCGGGGTCTGAGTGTGAGCAGGAATCAGGCCCATTGACTTCAACCAAGATCAGGGAGCCAGAGCGTCTCAGCAGCGAGAGAGAGCGGAGGAGCAAAAACGGGGTCTTCCCCCCTTCCCCTGTCTGCAAGACACATCCCCAGCGGGGCTGGCCCTGGCAGCACCATACACAATAACAAAACCTCCGGACGTGGCCTACTGCTTAACTGCCTGGAACCTGAACCCAATTCCAATTGTTTGTTCTGCCAGGCAGGTGGATCTGCCCAAGTGACCAGGTGACTCACGGTGCCCAGCATCCCCTAAATACACTGGATTAGCTGGTAATCTCGGGAGGCCCAGGGTGAGCCGAAAGAGACAATCTTCGCCCCCAGCAAAATCCTGAGAGGGTGTGCGTTTTAATTACCTCCCTGGCTAATCACCACCTGGAATTCTGTCAGGGCGTGTGCAACAGAGGCACAAAAGGGGTATTTCACTGGGAGCACTCAAAGGTCCACCCATCATTGTGGCATCCGGGCGCACGGTCATTTGCCTCATCCTAACTCCGGCAGTCGCACAGTCAGTCGTGGCACAGCCTGGCCGGACACAGCCCCCTGTCCCGTTGTGCCCCCTTCCGCCTGGCCGGGCACAGCCCCTGCCCCGTTGTGCCCCCTTCCACCTGAGAGGTGGCAGGGGAAAAACCAGCTTCTCCAACAGGTGCCAAAGGAGCTCCTGGAGTTTAAAGGTCGGATTGGCGAGTCTGACTCCTGGGTAATCCCTTGATTTGAAGCCATCAAGAGAAGGAAAACCCACCACTGCCCTGGGGAGCTGGTTCCCTTGGTTAGTCCCATGCAGGGTTAAAAAAATCGGGGCCTGGTTTCCAGTTTGAATTTGTCCAGCTTTAAACTTCTTATTCGGCCTTTCTCCTCTAGATTAAAGATCCCAGTAGTACCTGGTATCTTCTTCCTCCGAAGGTCTTAGACCAGTGGTTCTCCACCCATTTACCATTGCGGGCTGCACATACAGCTTTCTCTGTGTTATGTGGGCTGCATCCATACAATATATACACTGCCTTATGGCCCTGAGGATGGCCCATGGGCTGCAGCTGTGTGTTGATTCCAACCCTGATATTCTATGATTCTATGATTCCGTTCACACCCAAATCAGTCTGATTTGGATCAGCAAGCACACGGGGACCCATGTCCTAGGACCCTGCTGGGGATGGTGGGGGTCAGAGCCCAGGTCCTGCTTAGACGTGGATCCAAGCCCTTATTTTGCACTGTGGACACGAGCCGCAGCCCCGCGGCAGAAGGGCTGCATAGCGCCGTACAGATGAGTTACAACGGCCGTGAGATCCCGGGTCCAACGTCCGTAAACAACGCAGTGCGGATGCTCACAAGTGGGCTTGGAAAACACCAAGTCCACAAGCCCTGGTCCCACAGATCCAGGTTTACAGTGCCGTGTAGACGGACCTTGATGAGCTCTTTAATATATCCACAGCACGCAGCTCCGCATGGGAGCCGCAGGCGTGGGAGGCAGCTCCAGATTTTCTGCCGGTCTCCTTTGCCTTTTGGTAGGTCGGCCACAGCTCCTGCCCCTTCGCCCGGCACCCTGGCTTCCTGCATCTCCTTTGCAAGACCCAAATAAACATGCAGTTACCCCATAGCCGGGCTTCCGCGGTCCAATCTAGGACTTTCCGGGCCGAGTTTAGCTGTAGTGTTAGGTGGAGCCAGACCTGTCTGGTTGCAAAGGCGGGCTAGCGAGAAGACCAGCGTATTCAAAAGACGTTGGGGATTTTTGGGGGGGGGCGGGTTGGGCAGCAGTGTCAGAGTTTTTCACACCGCTGAGCGATGTCGTTAAGCTGACCTAATTTCTTAGCAGAGACCGGGCCTGAGTGTGGACTCGACACAAAGACGCGCCGAAACAAGACAAGCCTGACCGGTTAAACTTCGTAGTGCAGACTAAGGCTCTCGCTCCAAAAGGTCTTTTCTCCAGCCCTCAGATAACTTTTGTGGCTCTTCACCCTCAACAAGGCAGCAACATCCTTTTAGAAATGCACACACCAGAACTGGGGTTTCAGTATAGTTCTCAAGCAAAGCCGGAGACCCAGGTGAAAATCACTTCCTTGCTCTCAGCCGCTACTCCCCTGTGTATATATCTAAGGACCAAGTCCTATTTGTCCCGGGGTCATGCTGGGAGCTCACGTTGGCTTGTTCGTCCACTAGGAATCCAAAATACTATGCTGGAAAGCTGGTGGGGGGCAGGGGGTGTTAAATGAATCTTGGAGTCACAGCATCTTCCAAGCCGCTTTCCTCCAAAGGAGAAAGATTCCAGCATCCAAATGCCATTCTGCCTTCTTAAAATCCCCACCTCCTCTACAAAGGTCCAGTGAGCATGTGTTTCTTCTGCACATCACACCTTAAAGCCTTGCACGGCTTCACCACCCATCAGCTGCCATGCTCCGCTCCAGAGGTGGAAGCATTCTATTGAATCATGAGGCTTGGCGTCCTGGGCCCTGGCAGAACAGCTTGTTCGTAAGTTCACCCGTCACCCTGAAATCTTCCAAGCTTGATCTCCGTCTGCAGGGGAATATTCCATGTTTTCTTTTTGATCCAAATCCCACCGCTGAGTTACGGAAGAGCCAGCATTTCACCCCGTCAGGTAAAAAATTCTCCAAATACTGTTTTTTCCCCCTGTAAAAGGGATCAATGAGAAGCTTGGTTTGGAGGCTGGGAGATGGAGGCCGGGGGGGGGGAAGGAGGGACGGGAGAGGAAGGTTTAAAGGGACAGTGGTGGTGTGGAAATAATTAATTATATTACAGCAGTGCTTGGGGCTCTAATCAAAATCAGGGTCCCACCGTGCTACCTGCTGTACATATACACAGAACAAGAGACAGCCCTCGAGGAACGGCTAAATAAAAGCGGGATTATTCTCCCCATTTTACAGATGGGAAAACTGAGGCACCATACAGGACCAGAGGAAAGGGAGGCCAAAAGCAAGCATGGCCCCTTTAAGAAGCCCTCCCAGCGGGCAGACTTCCTAGCTCTCTTTGTATTCTAGGCGGTAGGCGGGCTCTCTCCTTTCCATAGATTCACAGATTCCAAGTTTCAGAGGAACAGCCGTGTTAGTCTGTATTCGCAAAAAGAAAAGGAGTACTTGTGGCACCTTAGAGACTAACCAATTTATTTGAGCATGAGCTTTCGTGAGCTACAGCTCACTTCATCAGATGTATCATCATCATCAGTTTCCACGGTATACACGGTATGCCACAAGTACTCCTTTTCTTTTTTTACAGATTCCAAGGCCAGCCTGACCCCCTCCCTTCCTCTGCTTCCTTGTCCCGTTTCTCTAGCCCACTGCCAAGAGCAGGATGTACCTGGAGTGCACGCGGCCGTCTCAGCTCCAAGCGCTCATCGTGGAGCGCACAGGAAATAACTTGCCCAAGGCGTCGGGTTGGGACTAGAAACCAGAGCTTCCGAATCCGAGGCTAGTGACTCAGCCATGAAGCATCTTCCTCGCTGAGGCTCTCCAAAGCAGGCCGCGCTTTCCTTAAGCAGCTGGTAACGCCGGGCACCTGAGCTTTTGGGCAAACCCAGTTTTCAGAAGCACTGAGCACCCCCTTCCCACACACACTCCAGCAGCAGCTCGGCATCTCGGGACACCCACCGCCTGGCAGGCACCCAAAACTCAAGGCATCGCAACGTTAGCCCAGTGACTGGATTTCCCACTCCTTTGTAGCATCTTTCCACTTGTCATCACGGTCCAGGTCCCCATTCACAGGACAAATGGACCAACAGTCCCTGCCCCAAGGAGCTGACGGTCGGTCTTATTACTGGATACATGGTTTCAAATGGGAATTAAGCGGCTTCCAGTGGGGATTAATTAATGTGGGTGAGGCGCCAGGGAAACTTATGTGTCTGGGCGCAAGGTAGCTTATCCTGGGAAAACTCAAGGGAGCAATTTTTAGATTAAAATTGGACTTTTTTCCCAAAAAGAGCTGCCCTCATTGAAACAGGAATTGCTTCGGGGAAGTACCCCAGCCTGGGTTATACCATAGGCTGGGCAGAATTCCATTTTTATTTCTTGTATAATTTCAACAGATAACATTGGTGGTTATTTTAAAGCCTTTTTTCAATTGTTATCAATTTAAATGTTCACAGGTGTGGGAAATTACAGGGAGAGGAGATCAGACAATGGGGTGAGGGGCAGGAGGATGGTCCATCAGTGGCTATTAGCCAGGATGGGCAGGGACGGTGTCCCTCGCCTCTGTTTGCCAGAAGCCGGGAATGGGCGACAGGGGATGGATCACTAGATGATGACCTGTTCTGTTCATTCCCTCTGGGGCACCTGGCGTTGGCCACTGTTGGAAGACAGGACGCTGGGCTAGATGGACCCTTGCTCTGACCCAGTGTGGCTGTTCTTATGGCAGGCAAGACTTATTTAATGACAGCAGAAGTTGAGATTCAAAAAGTTAAAAGCTTTACGTGCATTAAAACACCAGCTGTCAACATCACATGCCCCAAACACTCTCCGTTCTCACACAGCATTCTCTCTTTGCCACCCTGTCCATTTCGGCTGTGAGTGCAAGAAATATTTTCTCATCGGTTTGGGCGTGTGCGGCGAAATCGACCTGCACCGATGTTT